CAGAGAGGTGAAATTAAAGTAGGATCACTAGAGAAGCTTTAGAAAATAAAATGTTGCACAATACCAAGTTTAAGAGAGACTGAGTTTCAGAAAGACTCTTGGTAAAGGTCAGAAGCTCAACTTGAGAGTAAATGTAAAAGAGGGGGAAAATGTTAAGAAGTTCTTAAGGAACTCTGTTGGAGAAAATGGTTGAATGTACACATCCTGAATGTAATTATTTGGGCTCTGTTTGTTCACTGTTATTTCCCCAGGGCCTGAGAAATTTTAGGTCTTCAAATATTTTATATGAACAAATGCACCACACACACACACACACACACACACACACAGGTTCTCCATTAATCATCCACTGTAGACTCTAGGCACTCTAGGCTTAAAATAATATTGCAAAGGTAAGTAGCAGTCACACAACCTGTGAGCTTGTCAAAGTCTTCAGTTAGTCATATCCCACAGTCTAAAGTATATTCAGGGTATTCAAATAGATTTAATTATTTTCATCATGACTGCAATCTAGATCAAGTTATTGTCATATTGTCCTAGAAAACTTATATAACTTCCTAAAAATTATTTTGCATTCCTTCCTTTCATTCTTTGTCTCAACCAGTTTTATTGCAGCCACGTGATCATCCTTTTAATTTCATTTTGATTCAGATGTTACCCATTGTCCTACCTGTCCTATGTAGTGAGAATTTTTCAGATCCAGGATCCAATCCAAGATCACCTGTTGCATTTCCATTATCATGTCTCATGAGCCTTTCTTCATCTGAATCAGTCTTAGTCTTTTGTTATCCTCTAAATTTCTACATTTTGAAGAGATGGGGCCAGTTATTTTACAAAATGTCCTCAATTTGGGTTTGTCTGAAACTTTGTTGGACTGAGGTTATGGTTAGGTGGGACAAATACTCCAAAAGTGACACTGTTCTCACTGATTCTATCTAGTGTCAGGCCACTATGACTTCTTCCTATATTGGTGATATTAACTTCAGTTTCTCTACTGTATACTACTTTCCCCTTTGTAATAAATAAAAAATAAATAACATATTAAGTCAAATTTAAGTTTTCTTTGCAGTTTTTTTGGTTCTTTTATCTTCAGCCTGAGGGGAGTGAAAATGCTGTAGCTTGAAGTTACTTGGATTCCTTCTTTTCCACTTTTCTTTAGTACAGTTGTTAATCATTTGTTACATAATTAAGCTTATTTGTTTTCAACTTTGAGGTTTAAAAAATTCCTTGTTGATTTAACTTTTGGCATTGTAATTATAATGTGGGCCTCTTTGGATTCATCTTGTTTGGGATTCTATGCTTCTTGGGCTTGGATGTCTGTTTCCTTCACCAGTCTGGGGAAATTTTCAGCCATCATTTCTTTAAATAGATTTTCTGTCCATTTTCTCTCCCTTCTCCTTCTGAGACCCTTATGAATCAATGTTGGTATGTTTTATGTCCCAGAGGTTGCTTAAACTATTATTATTTTTAAAATTTCTTTTTCCTTTTTGCTGCTCTGATTGGGTGTTTTCTGCTACTGTGTCTTCCAGATCACTGATAGGGTCTGCTGCTTCAACTAATCTGTTATTGATTACAGCTAGTGCATTCTTCATTTCAGTTATTGTATTCATTTCAGACTGTTTTTTAAAATGTTTTTGTCTCATTTTTTTTTGTGTTTCCTATCTCTTTGTTGAAATTTTCACTGAGATCATTGAGCATCCTTATAACTGGTGTTTTTATCTCTTTCTTTTTGATAGATTGCTTGTCTCTGTTTTATTGAGTCCTCTGGTTTTGTCTTTGTCTTTCATTTGGGACATATTTCTCTGTTTCTTCATTTGGCTGTCTCTCCATGTTTGTGTCTATGAATTAGGTGAAACAGCAACCTCTCCTGGTCTTGAGGGAGTGATCTTGTGTAGGAGCTTCCCCTTTGTAGACTGTGTAGCAGGTATCTTTGGCAGGCCAGCTGAAGCTAGAGGGTGCGGAGGCCATAGGGAGTCCCCGGGATCAATCTACACTGGGACCACCTTAGCAGGCCAGTTGGAATTGTAGCAGGAGTGGGCTTTCCCAGGGCAAACCACACTGAGACCTGGAGCTAAAGCTGGAGCAGGTCGGAATAGTAGGGATTTACAGAGGTAAGACCCTGTGGCTGTAGCTGAAGCCCATGTGGTCTGAAGGATGTTCTCGGGACAAGCCACACCTAGGTGAAAGCTTTGCTAGGGTGGGTAAAAGCTGAGGGGTGTCCCAGTGCCACGTCAGATATCTGGAGTCTAGAGCTGGAGAAGGCTGCATATAAAACCTATGTCTGTGTTCTCTCTCTCTCCCTGTCTGTCTCTATCTCTATCTCTCTTGTTTGTTTTGCAGAAGCTGTTTATTCAGCCCTCAGTTCTTATTTAGGGGGAATTGCTCTGTCTGTAGGTATAAATTCATTGTGCTCTTGGGAAGAGGTGTGTTTATGCCACCATCTTGAACTGGAAACTACTATGATTATGTAGCTGCTGTGAATAAGACTTAACATTGTTTTCTTCTAGGTTTTAGGATAAAATTGAGAATCCTAAGCCCTACACACCCCTTTATGCTACTATCCCAGCCTTACTCAGCAACTCTTCATTTCACCCTCTACTCCAGCCCATGAAATGGACTGCCGTCAGTTCTTTGAATGCATAGCACCCCTATCATAAGATCCATGCATGTTCACACATCCTATTCTCTCTCCCTGAAATATCACCATCCCATTTTATGACCTCTGTTTCCTTCTTCAGCTGGTTAACTCAATCAGCACTCAAACAAATACTATTTTTAAGAAAGCTTTCCTTAATTTTTCTAGACTAGACCAAATCTTATGTTATGTGCCTTTATAGAAATCTGTATTATCACTTCACAGCATTTAATATCCAGTATAATTATGCATTTGAGCATCATCCAATTATGTCACTTTCATGAGAATATAACTCCCTGAGACATGGACTTCTCTTTTGCCCACTTCTCAGAATTTAGGACAATCTGATACATTTCAACCACTCCATAAATCATTTTTTGTCGTATGACTATATGAATAAATTACATATCTCTTTTATTTGACTAGAATTTAATTAAAGATTTTTGAAGATTTAATTTTGTGGTTGTTATTATTGTTAAACATTTAAAATTTGAGACCTATCAGTGCATAATTTATAAGTGCTAACTCCTTAATTCATATTTCCAAACCTAACATATAAACAATTCTGATAATTGTCAGGGATTATATTGTAATTAAATTTCATAATTCATGATGCTCTAAATAAAAAGAAAATGCAACCAGAAGGTCTAGACTTGGCAATTCATCTTCAGGAAATATCCAACATATTGTCAATAGCCTTAAAGTTTACATTTCCCTAAGGATTCTCTTCTCTTCAGTTTGGGAAAGATCTGTCCTTATGCCTACTGTCATTGTAATTTTTCTCCATTATATTATGAAAAGATGAATTCTATCCTTACAGTTTAATTTCAGGTACCTTAACTATAACTGTCACAAGATTAGGAGTTTTAAAATATATGACATATAAAATCAAACATTGTTATTGCTTTATGCATTCCTTCAGAAGCATTCACTGAACATATATGCTCATAAGATACTGAGAGGTCTTAGTAAAGAAAAGTAAATAAAGGATAATCTTTAAGCACTTTTGTGTTTATTTAAATTCAGGCAGCACCACTTAATCAATGTGTGACATTGAGCAAATTATTTAATCTCTTTGAGTCCAGATTTCTCATCTGTACAATTAGACTAACTAACACTCTAGTGATTATGGTGATAAGATATGTGTGCATGTGTGTGTACATTGCACACACCAATGTCTCACAAAATTTGGCATGTACTAAATACACAAAATTATACTTGTTATGATAATCCATAGTTGGGTAGTGTTTATTTATTAAAGGCTTACTGTGTGGCACCATTATCAGTGTCTTACATGCTTTCACTCATTTAATCCTTGCTATTCTGTAGGGTAAAACACCTTATGATCCTCATTCTACTGATTATGACAAGGCCCAGAAACTGCCTGAGTATACATAGATAGTAAGTGGAAGAGATAAATGATGACTCTGAATCTACTAGAGCCAGTGGACTTAGAACCTCTAACTATAATAAGAATTTAATTGTTAAAAAAACATATTAAAAGTTAACTATAATATATTGTGACATTTTTACAATAATGGTAGGGAAAGTTTTTAGTTAGTTTTAGGTGAGGAAATAAACTTTCTGATAAGGTAGGGGAGTTTAAACAGGTACCTTGAAGGATAACTAAGTCCGTTGTAGGTAAGGTGTCTTGGCAGAGAGAAGCATTTTAAGTAAAACCATGAAGATATAAAGAGAGTTATTATTTGAATGAAGGTGGGAGTCTTCACAAGTAGAACAGAGAGTGCAAGGGAGGTATAAGAATGAAAAGAGAAGCAGAAGAAAGGTAATTCAGAGAGCTTTACTTTAATTAAAAATTACTTTAATACAGTAATCTGTGGATGTGATTATTGCAACATTGAAACTTTTCTACATTTCTGTTTAACAACTTCTCCTATGTGTCCATTCTTGTGAAAATAACAGGCAAGTATTTTTTGTATTCAGAAGACATGAATCTGGTTATATTGATTCTTCTACAGAATATTGAGTCATTATTAATTTTTCTGATGCAGATACTTTCTGTGGAATTTTTTGAGGTTCTTATGAGTTTCATTAGTCTTTAAATCACTCCCTATTGGAGAATACACTACTACGCCAGTTACACCACAGTAGCAGCAGGGAGCAGAAGGAGATCCCTTTCAAATTCATCAAGATTTAAGTAAGCTCCCTAAAATTCAGGTGCACACAAAATACAATATGCCTACTAGTTTCAGTAGTTATGTGTGGTCACTCTTCTCCACTGAAATCTGATAAAATGTCTGATTTCAGCAGGAGAAAATGTCATGTCTATTATGAGAAATAAATAAATTATTTAGACTCTTCCCTTCCCCTTCTGATACCATCTCTGCAAACAATTTCAGCACAATCAGGCAAACTTTACCCTTAGAAAACTAAGGACATAATCTCGAATTTTCTTGGTCCTAACACCATACACAATGGGGTTAAGAAAAGGTGGGACCAGAAGGTATATATTGGCAATAAAGATATGGATCTGGGGGGCCACATTGTGGCCAAAGCGGTGAGTGAGAAAGGTAAAGACAGCTGTGGAGTAGAAAACGAGGATGACACAGACGTGGGAGCCACATGTGCCTAGAGCTTTAAGACTTGCTTCCTGTGATGGAAGATGAAAGACTGCACGGAGGATTAGAACATAAGAGACAGCAATAAAAAAGCCATCACAGGAGCCAATGACAGAGGCCACACTGAGGCTGTAACGCTTGGTGGTTCCTGTGTCCACACATGCCAGCTTCACCACAGCCATGAACTCACAGTAGGTGTGGGCAATGATTCGAGTCCCGCAGTAGGGCAGCTGTTTGAGCAGGATGGGATGTGGGGAAAAGAAGGCCACTCCCCGGAGTACAACAGAAGCTCCCATTTTGGCAATGTGAGCATGGGTGAGAATGGTGCTATGGCGCAGTGGATGACAAATGGCCACATAACGGTCAATGGCCATGGCCAAAAAGAAGCCCGATTCCATGGCAGTAAAGCTGTGGATGAAGAACATTTGGGCCAAACAGGTATCAAAGGCAATGTCGTGGGCTCCGAGCCAGAAGAGACAGAGCATGCGGGGCAGCGTAGATGAGGAGAGGACCAGGTCGGTGATCGACAGCATGCACAGAAAGAGGAACATAGGCTCGTGGAGGCTTCGCTCTGCCCTCACCACAGCCAGGATGGTCACATTGCCCACCACAGCCACCACATACATGGAGCAGAAGGGAATCCCAATCCAGACATGCAGGTGCTCTAGTCCTGGGATGCCCATCAGCAAAAAAATGTTTGGAGATGTTTGAGATTTATTGGCTGGTCCCATTGTGCTGCTGCTCTTTGTCTTTTGTAGATGGAATCCTCCTTTACAGCGCAAAAGTTTTCTAACGAGATCATCACACCATATCTGGTAACAAATAAAAAGCACATCTGGAAGATCCTATAACATCATGTTAGAAAACATAAAAGGTTGTAAGTTATAGAGAAACAAGTTAGTAACACTAGGCAAAAACTATGTAACCAGACACAAAGTGCTTACTGTAAGTCAAGTCATGAATCTCACAAATTTGTTAAAACTAAACCAAAAACCCAACACTGTTAACATCTATGTACAATAAAATTCAATATCACGTTTTGAATTCACACTCTGGTTTAATCATAAAGCCAAATTAGCGTTTGATAAAAATGTCTGAAATTATAAATGAAATGAATCTTAGAATCTCCTGAATTACAATTTTCTAGCTGATGCCTGAGTACTCTTGAGTATTTGTGTTCCTTTCTTAGAAAGTCCCTTACCTGTCCTAGTACTGTCACAGAACCAAACCCAGGAGCTATGAGATTGTATTATCCTTTCCTATCATACTTTTTACAGACTCACCTGTCTTCTGAAGTCTTCACAAAATCTGAGTTTTTTCTCATGCTTCCACCAAGTCTTTTCTTTTGCATGAAACATTTTCAATGTATATACCTGCTTATCTTAAGTTTAGTTTTCAGAATATTCCAATTTCCCACTTCTTTTACATATTCCTCAATGTACCTAGTTCTTGACTTTTATTTCTTATGTCTGAACATACTAGTCACTGCAGAAATTCATGTACTTGGTATCTCTTTTGATTTACATACTATTAGTGTGATTTCAGCTCATATAATTTTTTACATGAAGTAAGGAAGAAAAGTAATACTTAGTGATCCTAATATGAAAAGGATATCATCCAGAATCTTTGTAGAGGTTAATTTTTTTATTGATTTTTAAAGAGAGAGAGGAAGGCAGAGGGAGAGAAAGATAGAAACATCAATGAGAGAGAACATTGGCTGCCTCCTGCATGCCTCACATTGAGGATTGAGCCCACAACCTGGGCATGTGCCCTGATCAGGAATTGAACCGGCGACCTCTTGGTGCATGGGTCGACACTCAACCACTGAGCCACACTGGCCGGGCAGTAGATGTTAATTTTTAGCTGAAAAAGTCATGCAAACAAAATATTGTCTTTCCAGTGTTGTCAGTTAGGAAGTAAACACCCAGAGTGTTACAAATAATGCAGTGGCATCACACAAAGTGGTTAAGACACAAGAATTCTAAAACAACCCTGCACGACTGAAAGTTCACACTAGGTCCTTTGTGTCAAAAATCAATATTTTCTGTCACAGATGTTAAGTTCATAGTCAAATTTAACTTACTAATATTTTTCTTAATCTTGAAAGTCATATTTCTCAAGACGATTTTAAATAAATGCTTAAAAATTAGCCTTTTCATTTAAACTTGATAATCCGTACAATATTTTTTAGATTATACTTTAAAATAAGCATTATCATATGTTGTTTGAATTATCATTAAGCATTTATCAAGGTTAGCACCCTGAATATAATCAGTATTTTTTGCTGATTCTAGTGGTATTTATTCTGTATTTACATTGAAGCAATTAAAATGCAATTTTGAAACCGGTATAGGCCAAAAACAGAGTTATTTTTATCATTCTAGAAAATTGGGTTTCCCCTCAAACATGCTCTGTACACTGTTCATTAAATAGAAATGGATCTGTAGAATTTAATAATGAGATTACAAATGTTGAACCCAGTTTACTCCACTGTAGTAACCTGCAGTCTGATCAAATGTCTACAAACTAGAATATGACTTACTTACCCACTATTTTGGGTGGAATGTAGAGCACCTTAATCTGACTACACATTTGATTAGAAATATTCCCAGTATTATTTGGAAATTTTCTTAATCTGACCCTGACCTTACAAAATAATTATTTACACATTACTTTAAATTACTGTGATATTTGACTGAGAATAAATAAAGTACAATGCATCTTAAAAATTATCATCTCTCCTAAGTAATGCTATTTCTTCGGTTTTTCCTTCCTTCCATCTGATTATATTTATTCCCATCATAGGCTCCTTGTATTCAATGTACTTATTTATAAATATATAAATAGATGCAATTTTTTTTCATAATAAGTTTTAAGTTGTCTTATAGATACTTATTATATCCTTTTCTCCAGTTTTCTCAGCTGCGAAGTGGGAAAAACAAACGATTGTTGGGGAGATTAAGTCAATTAATACCTGTTAACGCATTAGTACACTATCTTTACAGAGCAATTTAAGATACTAAGCACAGGGATTTGGTCATTATTACATATGTCATGTGACTCCAATAAAGCATCTTAGCATGATGTGATCAGATTAGTGTTTTAAATAACAAAATAGGCCATCCTGTCCAGCCTTTTCACCAGGTACTCTTTCTGCACCCTCCATGAGGTAATGCCAGACTTATTATTCCCCAAACACAACATGCTTCTTTGTAAAATTGTGTCCCTTTCCACATCCTTTTCTTATTACAGTCTCCTCTCCCTCCCTTTTATTCATTTCCCAATGCAAACTACAGCTTTCTTGGAGTATCTAGGTCAAAAGTATCTCCTCTATGACTCTTTGCTGGATTAACTCAGACAAAAATTTGCAGAATATTTTTCTGGGTTTCTTTACATGTTTTCTTACATTTTATTGCAATAGACTTTATCAAATTGTAGATTTTTAGATTTATAAATGTATCATTATGAATCCTGTCTTTCTTATGAGATTAAATTCACCTCAGTCTAGAAACTTTAGCATAGCTTGGTATTACCATAATTAAGTCCAAAGGCTGGCATTGGATAATGCTGAGTAAGAGTACAGTCCTTGCTACCTCTGTCTAGGAAATAAGAGGGTTTCTACTCCTTGGAAGATCCTTATTTCTGCTTTGCTCTGCTATGATTTAAGACAACACTCCATGCACAGAGAGACAGAGCAACTAATCAAAAGTAGGTTTTAAGTCTATTACTTCCTTTTTCTTTTTTTTATCCTCACCTGAGGACATTTTTTTTTTTTTGCATTTATCTTCAGATAGAGCAGGGGGGAAAGAGGAGGGAAGAGAGAGAGAGAGAAACATCAGTGTGAGAGAGACACATCAACTGGTTACCACCCACACGACCCCAACCAGGGCCGGGGACACACTGCAACCGAGGTACGTGCCCTCAGCAGGAACTGAGCCCGGGACTTTGGTTCTCAGGCTGATGCTCTAACCGCTAAGCCAAACTGGTCAGGGCAAGTCTATTACTTCTTTATCTGTGGGCTTGAAGATCTTGATTACCTAGATCTCCACTTCCAGAGAAACATAAAGCTATTAACATTTCTCTGTTGGTTCTCAAAACCTTTTAAAATTAACATATTCATTCAGAGAAGACCTACATATCTGTACTCACATATGGCTAAAGAGGCAAACACCCATATTGTTGTACATCTGATGTTTTCTTATATGTCACCATAAATTATGGTATAATATACCCAGAAAGCCAAGCACACAGGAACTCTAATTTTTCTCATACCACATAGTCTCCTACAAGCACACCACATCAATGCTCAAATAAGTGCATTCACCTATAAACATATATATTTAAAATAAATTTATATTTAAAAGCACAAGCAAAACACTCAGTTTTACATATTAGAACATTCCCTGATTATTTTCAGAATTATTAGTCTTTCTTCAGAATAGAAATCCAGGTCTGGGTGATAGAGATGTCAACCCTCTTTTTGAAAATCGATTCTGGATCCATTTTCCATGTCCTACAAAATCTTTCTGGAAATCTTTCTATACTTTCTACTCTCTCTTATCTATATAGATCAACTAGTTTGAAGATAAATTGCATAAAAAATTACAATAGTTAATGCCACTAAGAGAATGCAATGGTCTGGCAAGTTTTGAAAATAAAGAAAATAGAAATTGATGGCTATGGCTTGTGTTCTGATTGCCTTAACCAACAGACATTCTTTCCACCTTACTCTTAAATGTTCTTCCTCCAACTATTCCTTAATCAGATTTAATGCTGAGTGGAAAGAAACGTCTTCTTTGATCACGGCTGTATCTGACTCCAAAGCCTGTCTTGGTCAAACAGCTTTAATGTTACATTAATTCTAATTTAGAGTATCTGTGTCCCTATGGTTCCTATACTTTAGCTAATCAACAGGCAGCTGTGTTTACATCAGTTATGGGAGAAAGGGTCCCTTTCACCTTCTTACTATATTGTATATCTATAATACTTATTCTTAACTTTATTATGGGTTTATAAAAAGGTACACATTATCTTTTTGAGAATCTTATTATTCTATAAATGTGGATGTTTAAATGTAGCTCTTTCCTCTCTTTTTCTATCTTGCATATATAGCAACTCACCCAAATTAAAAGCTGAGATTCATCCAGAGAGCCAGTTTCTATGAGTAGTTGCTAAGAAGTGTGCTCAGTGAACTAAAGCTAGGTTATACTCAGCTCCTGGGTTAAAATATGTCGGTGGCAGGGGAATCAGTAGTCCTCTGGGATACGGAGTCTTTTCCCAAACTACAGGACTTACTTTACATTAGCTATCCCTAAAGATGATAAATAAGGGCATTATTATTTCCCAAAGGTCTCTTGAGTGCTTTGATATAAACCGTATTTGTAGAATATATCAGGAAAAATATGATAAAACCATAGATTGAAGGAAAAGGATTATGTTTATATACTGAGAGGTCATCACTGTCTATGCTCTAGGCTTAATGCTTAAAAAGCTCATTCTTACTGATCTTCAAAGCTGCCTTTGGGAAAATAAATACCACTAAACAAATGAGAACATAAAGAGATGAATAGATGAAATAATTTATGTACAGTTTTACAGCTAATAACAGTGACATCAGCATCTGAATCTGGATATTTCTGGCTCCACATTTCATGTACTTAACTACTACATCACCAAGATTTAAAAATAAGGTCTGCCTGAATTAAAGTTTATATTCTCTCTTATACATAGC